AGGCGGGTGCGGTGGTCCCCGCCCCGTCCCTGGTGAACCCCGTGCTGCTGCTTTGAGGGCCCCGGGGCGCACCAGGCTCTGCAAAGAGGTGGCTGCTTGTGCAAGCCTTGGTGTGAAGCCCCGGGGCTTGATAGCAAAATGACTTTTTTTTTTTTTAAACGTTTCAGAGGTGCTAAGCCCTGTCTAAGAGCAAGCTGTTTGAGGCGTGCTAGGTGATGTGTCCCAAAATGTCACCTCACGCTGTTCAGCGAGTGCCACAAATGCCGCCGAGCCCCCTGTCCCCAGCAGGGTCAGTGCAGCTGGCTCGCTCCTGCCACCAGTGCCCGTGGCTGCACCGTCCTCTGGCTGAACGTGTGATCGAACCCGTTAGCCATAATGAAAAAGGTGGCAGAGAGACGCACCAGGGAGCGGCTTGGTGTGGGAGCACTGGGCTCACTCCGTTTGGCTGCAGCCTGGATTGGAACAACATAAATGATCAAGCCCCCTGCCTGGTGTCCCCGTCGCACTGGGAAGCACTGAGCTCTCTGGGGAGGGCGGCGGGGACCGGGGTGGCAGGGCGGGGGGCGAAGGAGTGGGGCCAAGAGAGAGGAGGGAGCTGCGCCTGGTTTCGTCTCCTGCGCCTTCTCATTGCGAGGCAGGCAGGAATGTAGCCAGCGAGGGCGTGAGCTCAGTGGGTGGGAGGCAGGAAGAGCAGTCGGTCCCTTCCGTCTCCATCCACCTCTCCCAGCTTGGCCTTGGCCTTCCCCCCACCCCTCTAATTACTCATTAACTACAGCCCAGGAAGTGTTTTGCAAATGGTGAGAATTAAGCACTCTGCTTGAGGCCTGCGGTTTGGCTGACCTGGAGCTACCTCCTGCGTAGTCCGCCCAGGAGCAGGCAGAGTTCGGGACTGCCTGTGCAGCTCGGACACGGGTGAGTCCCGGGAGGTGCCGCAGCCCCCAGGTGCTGCTGCCACGAGCACTCAGCCCCGTCGGGATGGTGCGAGTCCACCCCTCCTCTCAAGGCCTTTGAACTCTCTCCCAGGTCCGTCTCAAGGCACTATCTTGGCAATGCCAATATTGCTTTATTTTCTTTAGTAGGACTCACTGCTTAAGGGCTGTGGTCCCTCCTCCGCCTGCTGCTGTCAGTGCCCCGTCAGTGGGGATCTGTGAGTCAAGATCCTGATGCCATCCTGTGGGTGAGTGCCGTGAACGCTAGTTAGGGGAAGAAACTGAGAGTTATTGGGGAGAAAAATAAAACTACTGGCAGTAGGAATCGGGCGCA